GCAATGGAATGGAAAGGTGGCCGCGATGGAACGGTGCTGTTGGACCTCCTCTCCAGGCAAGAACCGAACAGCTCCTCATGCACTAAACAAACTGGTCCAGGGATGGTGGTACCCTGCCGTTGTGGATGACAATCGAACAGGGCCAGAGGTGCTGCCGTGGTCATGGTGTGTAGGTGCGCTCCTTGTCGGCTGCTAGCGCATAGGGAAAACCCAGATCGAAACAAAGAAAATCAGGGAAGGTGAAATCTGGAATAGATTTAGTAAGGACGATCCTCCCGTGCATATGCGGCCCGTGGAAAAAGGTTAGGCAAACATTTTTAATAAGAGGAATTTTACTGTGCTTGAAAAAAAATCTAGAGCCATCTACCTAAACAAATCTAATAGTTATAAAATGAGAAGAACCAATATAGAAGAACTTAAGTTGTGTTCCAAAACCTATAATACGTGGGCCAGTAACTAATTTCAAATTTAATCGCAAGGTACCGTAGTATTTTCACAATCTAAGTAGCTCCTCATCATCTCCCGTGTGCGTTATCTGTCTCTGTTCTTATCGGAGTCGCCCACCTGGCCCACTCTTCCGCCGCCACCACGGCTGCCCACCGCCAGGCTGCTGCCACGGTCGCCCGACGACACCCCAACGCCGCGCCACTGCCGGCCAATGCCAGCCTAGGTAGGCGCGCCAGCCATGGCCGAGTAGACATCAACCCCCAGCTCGAGCCGTCCAATCGTGGACCTCCAGTGCAGGAGCAACAGCTGCGGGCTGGTGTTGGGGGGCGGCGCGACGGGCTCGACTCAGTAATTGGCTCGAGCTACCTTGGTAAGCCCATGAGCTAGGGAGAAAAAATTCACTCAGCAGAAATCAACGTTCAGTCGCTCACGTACCTTTGATTCAGTATAGCAAATTAGGAAAATTCCACTTCAAGGAACAAATCAACCGGGAAAAAAAGTCTACATAACCCTCTCAACTATTCAGAGTTGACTACTTCACCCTCCAACTATAAAACCACATTTTCTACCCCTGAACTTTCTAAAACCGGTCAAATAACCCCAAGCGGTTTTGGACGGTGGTTTTGGTACAGTGACGGTGGTTTTGTCTTTTTTTTTATTTCTGCTGAATCTTTGAAAAATCATAGTAAATCACAGAAAAAATCATAAAATATAAAATCCAATTTTGTTGGACTCCACATGAGTATATCTACACAGTGAACATATAATATGGTATGCTTTATTACAAAATTTTTGTTGTAGCTTTAGGTCTATACTTTTCTGTAATTAGTTGAAATAATTCATAGCTGTAGGTTTTATGGTCCAATTATGGTGAAATTTTTTTTGGTGGGCTAATTGTTGTATGCTTGAACTATAGTAAAAATTTCATACTAATTGGATCATGTATAACTTAGTTATAGATTAGCCCACCATAAAAATTTTACCACAATTAGACCATAGAACCTGCAGTTATGAATTATTCCAATTAATTACAGAAAAGCATAGATCTAAAGCTATATCAAAAACTTTATACTAAACCATACCATATTATATATTCATTATGTAGATCTACTCATGTGGAGTCTAACAAAATTAAATTTTCCATTTTATGATTTTTCTGTAATTTAGTATGATTTTTCAAAGATTCAGCGGAAATAAATAAAAAAGGCAAAACCACCGTCACGGTAGCAAAACTACCGTCTAAAAAAGCTTGGGGAGTTATTTGAATGGTTTTGCAAAATTTAAGGAGTAGATAATTCGGTTTTATAGTTTGGGGTGAAATAGTGCACCATGAATAGTTGGGGTTTTATGTTGACTTTTTCCACAAATAAATGATTCACGTGTCCTTGGTTCAGTGTCAAAAGCAAGAAGCAAATTAATGTATTTTGAGAGACTCAATCACAAGGCAAGATCCGTAGAATCCATGAAAGACATGACCGGAAGTCCTGACTGCTCTGGACCTTGGCGCTCTTTGGGGCTGGCGGCGGCGGGTGCCGGCGCGCAGCTTGCGCGGCCACAGGGTTGTCGCTTGGGCTTGGGCGCTCGACAACCAGGCGCCAGGCGAGGCGTCGCCCGGTGCACGGTGGAGGCGCTGCTCCTATTCGGCGGCTCAGGGCGGCGGCCGCTGGCGCTCGCGAAATCCAGCGTCCGGTACTCGGCGTCCGCCTTAGGGATTCAGGGAGTTGTTATGTAGGAAAAGTACTTAACTGCCCTTAAACATAATTAATTAGTTTTTCTATTCTTAAGAGAGGAACCGTTGGTTCCTCCAAGCACAGTAACAAACCTCTTTTAATAACTACTAATTAAATAGGCTACTTTGAGATTTGTACAATTTTGAAATGAGAAGTATTGGAGTAGTTCTCATATAATAATATACCTAGATACCTAACAAAATGGATAAACAAATAAAGTCAAAACGACTTATGATTTAGAACAGAGAAATTCCAAGACTGCCAGAACAATATTTGATCCAAAGAGTAGCAGTCTATGACACGCCCTAGCGACTCAAAGCCCACACTATGGAGATCAGCAAAAAATAGCAGGCACCGCAATAGTACAGGTACAGCGCATAGGTTGGCTGTTAATGCTTGGCATGAGACCACTACTTCAGAAGTTATTTTCTCATGCACAAATCAAGACCATGTTCAAGTCACAAAAAAAAGACCATGTTCTCAGCTGCCCATATTAAACTGGCTGACAGATGTTACTTGAGATCAGGAGGAGGAAGATGCGTAGAGAAAGGAATCGAGTGTTTTGGGATCCCAAAACACTCGGCTGTAGGATAGACAGACTCTAATCTTTTTATGCTATGAACGAACTCAAGATGAGTAGACCATGGACAATAGTTTACATGTTGTCAGAGATGCAATTAGGTATACTGGGGTGGAGATAATTTGTACATCCGGGTTCGAGTTCCTTTCAGTGGCACTACCTTAGTCTAATAAATGACGTAACAACGAAATTTGCGCAAATCAAACTAGCTTAACTTTGACTAGTTTATAATAAATAGTCGTTCATATCTCCAAGATAGTTTACTACGAAAATACATTCCATAATATTCCATAATTAATTTAATGGATTCACCATAGTGAGACTTGAAGATCTACTAGCATAATAAATAGTCATTCACGTCTCCAAGATAGTTTGCTATGAAAATACATTCCATGATTAATTTAATGGATTCATCCATAGCGAGACTTTTTTTTCTTTCCTTTTTACAACAACCGGTTGGTTGAACTGGGCAAAGAACGCTAGTATTCTCGTAGATAGTAGATGTTATAATATCCACCGCATGGCCAGCCGCCGCCCGTTGCAACTTGCAGCAAACAAAGGCGCCATCGCCGTTTGCAACTACAACGTCCAAACCACCCAATCCGTTTCCACAAAGTCAAAACAACTCCGCCATCTCATCTGCCTCGATCAAACAAGGCGGACAATGTCAACGCTCCTCGGCACCAACACAAATTCTAGCCAACCCCATCTATTGCCCGAGGGAGATAGAGAGCGCGAGAGAGATCCGCGCAACGCTGCGCGATGTTCTTCAGGTCAGGTTCTCTCCTGACTTATTACGGAGAACCGGGCGCCGGTGATCGCTAGAGGACGGCGGCGCTAAGATCTGGTGGTCACGACCAGCCGCGCCGTCTACGAGGTTCGTTCTGCTTTAGAGCTTTGATCCTCAGTTTTCGCCTGCGGTTCCATAATTCCGTGGCACCGAGGAGAGCCGTGCTGCTCGCAATACCGCCCTCTGTTGATGATCCGCCCTCTGTCAACGGGCCCGAGCTGTTGATGGGGAGAAGAAATTTACGAAGGGACATCGGAGCCATTACCCTGCCGCGTTCATCCTTAATCATCAACCATGGTTCAGGACTTCAGGTGAGTTCTAATCCGATGAAGCTTAAGGCTCCGTTCGGTTACAGCGCTATGACACGAGGAACAGTTCCGGCCGTGGAAAACTTACTTAAATTGAGTAACGAATCGAATCGGTCCCGGGGGTCATTCCCAGGAACCGAACGGGGCCTAAGGAATCGTGTCTAGCTTATTGTTTTACTTGCTGACAAATTCCCCAAGTCTTTTCTCCTACTGTTGTTATTGTTGATAGCCAAAGTCGCTTATGCTATTGCCTGATTAGTTCTACGCGTTTCTAGTTTGAAGAAAATGCAAATGGAGAGGGCTACGATAAAAATTTTCCCCATAGGTTTCAATAAGTTTTGCCAGAAAATGCAAATTAACTCTTGCGCTCTTTTGCGCGAGCAAGGAACACGTGTGTATAGTTTGGTTGTCAGTGTGCCGTCAGCCAAATGGAAATCACTTGGATTACTAGTTACTTGGCGTTTCAAAGACTCGGTTGTCGATCACGATGCCCCTTGAGTTGTGTTTTCCTTATTAACGAAAGTTGTGTTTCTGTTTAGTATTTCCTTTTCACATAAAAACACATTGTTTTGGGCCAGATCTTGGAAGTTGCAACCTGATAGCCTGCAGAAGCCATTCTTCAGCGTTTCATCTCAGTTTTTTCAGCCATATGGTTAGACCTTATACAGTTTTATATACTTCTAAATTGTAATGATTGAATTTGGCCTTTTCTTAATTTGATTTCCAATTGATTTCTTGATATGGAATGATGATAAATAAATTCGCATGAGACTGAACCTTTCCGAGCTGCTCTTTCTTTCCTGAGCAGGGTCATCATTAGTTCCATGCAAGCTATAAAGGGGGCAAATGACAGCAAGAACATCAGAGGTTATACCATAACCATCATCTATTTGGTTTCTATGTTCGAAGCTACATATACATATTATATAAAAATTTATCTTAAGGAAATTTATCTTAAGGACCAGCTCCTTGCATTTACATTTGGCCCTTGCTATTTGTAAAATTTCCCGCTTAGGTATAATAAGCAATTATGTATGTCATCAAATAGAGGAACAGAGACTAGCACCTGACTTGCTACACAGGTTGTGCCAGCTCTGTTCATATATGTTTTAGCAGACGTTTGCAGGATCCCATACTATCACCTGCTACGAAGAGGCTGCCGAGTGAAGGGCGACGAGGGACGCATACGCGCCATCCTTGATGTTGATCAAGGCATCGTGCTTTCCCTTCTCGATGATAACCCCATTCCTCACGACCGCGATCAAATCTGCATTTTGTATTGTTGACAGACGGTGAGCAACGATCACTGTTGTCCGGTTCACCATCACCCTGTCCAGTGCGTCCTGGACGATCCGCTCGGATTCAGCATCCAGTGCACTAGTCGCTTCGTCCAGAAGCAGGATCCTAGGGTCCTTCACGATTGCACGGGCGATCGCCACACGCTGCTTCTGCCCTCCTGACAACTGAGCTCCACGCTCTCCAACCATTGTGTCATACCCCTGCATTTTTCAGGTAGACACTTCCCTCAGCAACAGTTTTTGGTGCTTGATTGATTGCATAGAAAAGCCACATATAATATTTCTTGATGACATCAGATGAAAGAAACTAACCTGGAGCGCCGAACTAATAAATTTGTGAGCGTTTGCCAATTCTGCAGCAGATATGATCTCAGATTCTGATGCTTGTCCATCTTTTCCATAGGCAATGTTTGCCCTTATCGTGTCGTTAAACAAAGTTGGTTCTTGACTAACCAGGCCCATTTGTTGCCTTAACCACCTAAGCTGGAACTTCTGTATGTCCACGCCATCTAGTAGTATGTGGCCTACATCTGGGTCATAGAACCTCTGAAGCAATGAAATTGCTGTTGATTTGCCACTACCACTCTCTCCAACAAGCGCAACAGTCTGAAAACAAATAATAGAATTGTTATACTTGTAATCATAAACATTGTTAACTCAATACAGGATTTATACATTAGAAGATCACTTGCCTTTCCAGCATGAATTGTCAAGCAAAGGTCCCGAAAAATCTGAACATCTGGCCTGGTTGGATACCTGAAGCTAACATGCTGGAATTCGATATTTCCCCGTAGTGTCTCAACAGTCACCCCAGCATCCTCACTTGGGTCTATCCTTGATTTTCGGTCTACAATTGCAAATATAGAAGATGCAGCTGATTTTGCTTTGGAAGAATCCGATGTAAGGGTACTTGATTGCGACACTCCAATTGCCGCCATTGCAAGAGCAAGAAAAACCTGCATATAGAAGGACACATTTTAGAGCTCTTCATTTGGAAGCTACAAGGTACTCACTCCAAATCACGTTTTTAAAAAAGGATAACCCAAACCATGTTGCTTCACATTTCAGTAGTCCTGTCAAGCATTTCTTTCTTCCTTAATATGAAAGCCAGATGAAGTTAAAAAAAATTATCAGTACTTACCCTGAAAACTTTAGGAAAGGTTGTCTTCTTGTCCTCAACAAGCCGAGCACCAGCATAAAAGCTAGCTGCATATACCCCAAATAGCAAGAAAAAAGGAAACTCCAAAACCGATTCCACTTATAATCCCTGTCCTGATTCCTGTTCTTAGGGGACCTTCACATTTCTTCTTGTACAAATCCATGACCTTCTCTTCAGCTGAGAATGAGGCCACTGTTCTTATGCTGCTTACTGCATCATTAGCCACCTGGCTTGCCTCTTCATACATCATCTGCATTCACAAATAACTAAATGAAGTCTGATGCAATAGACAATAAATCTAAGGCACAGGCAGTCCAGTACAAGGAACAGACCTTTGCATCTGCACTGAAACCCTGAATAAACTTCATCTGGATCCATCCATTTAGGCCAATGAGTGGTATTAAAGCTAAGATGATGGGATAGCTCCCAGTTTGATACAAATGCAATTACCAAACCAGCGACTAATGTCGAAGAGTTTTGCACAACCAATTGAAGTGCGTCTCCCACAAGTCCTCTAACTTTTGCTGCATCAGCTGACAGCCTTGCACCGATTGCTCCACTTGAGTTTTCTGGGTGATCAAACCATTCAATCTCCATATTTACCACCTTCTCAAATGTCATCAGTCGGATCCTTCTAATCAACCTGCACCCTGCTATGGAGAAAAGGTACGAACTGACAGGGAGTGACAAGAAGTACACTGCACCAAACACCAAGAACATGGAAGCCCAGAACTGTGAATCCCTCCTTAGAAGATGTGGAGGCTCATAGAATGCTTTTATCACATTTGACAGGAGTATTGCAAAGATTGGGAAGATAACCCCACTGATGACTGAGGCAATGGAACCTAGTATAAGGACTGGGATCTCTGGCTTGTTAAGAGATGCAAGCCGGCTGAGAGGCACTTCCTGTGGCATCTCGTCACACAGTTTGTTAGATGAACCATCCTGAATATCAATCCCAAGAGGCATACCGAATGGTACCGAGAATGAATGGTGGCTACTATTATCACGGGATGACCTCCTGCTAGCTGACTTATTTATTGACATTTGTTTGCCTGGACGAGCATTGGCATCACCCTGCCGATTGTTCTGCTGGTTTGCTTCCTGTAGCCTTATCAGTTGGCTATAAGCTCCTTCTGGATCTCTTAGAAGCTCATTGTGTGGACCTGGTCCAAAATGTTAAATGGTTAAGCAAAGATGCATTGAGCAATCAAAGACTGGCAAATGATGATTTTTGATATTGGTGTTTCACAATATACCTTTTTCAACTAGTGTTCCCTGATGAATAACAGCAATGGTGTCAGCATTTCGAACAGTGCTCAGGCGGTGTGCAACTATGACTGTCGTCCTATTTGTCATGACCCTGTCAAGAGCTTCCTGCACGATCCTTTCAGACTCGGCATCCAGTGCGCTTTGTAGCTTCATCCAATAGTAGGATTCGTGGATCTTTCAGAATAGCCCTTGCAATGGCAATTCTTTGCTTCTGTCCACCAGAAAGCTGTGTCCCATGCTCACCAACCAAGTATCAAAACCCTATGAAAATATCAGAAACAGAAGAGATCTCAATGCATGCTGCATAACTAACCGAGCCACTGAGAAATTAAATTGTATTTTATTTTATTTTTATATTAAAATATAACCAGTAGGGGCACAGCACCTCCTGTTTCTTAATTAAAAAACAAAAACAAAAAACACTGGGAGATGTAAAGCTTGCTGCTTGAACAGCATTCTGACCTGAGGCATTTTATCTATGAATTTGGCAGCATTGGCAAGCTCAGCAGCAGCTCTAATTTCAAGATCCGTCGCGTTGTCTTTCCCATAAGCTATGTTCTCCTTTATGCTGGCAGCAAAAAGGACTGGCTCCTGGCTGACAAGGCCGATTTTACTTCTGATCCACCTTAACTGGAACTCCTTGAGATTCACACCATCTATCAGAACATCGCCAAGCTGAGGATCATAAAACCTTTCGATTAGGCTGATGACCGTGGATTTGCCACTCCCGCTCTGTCCTACCAATGCAATTGTCATGCCGCTAGGTATAGTGAGGGAGAAACCCTTGAATATTTGCTCATCAGGCCTTGTTGGATAGGAGAAATAGACATCCCTAAACTCAATATCCCCTCGAATGTCCTCCAGCTTCCTTCCTGTGGTGCTGTACGCGTCGATTTCTGGTGTTCTGTTGATCGTCTCAAACATCTTGTATGCAGCGGCCTGCCCACCTGCAAACGCTTTCATGCTTGGAGACGCCTGACCTAGAGCCCTGGTGAATACGGTAAAAGATGTCAGGTATCAGATGAAGCATAAAACATTAACTGAAAAACAGTCAGGATATTAGAGAGAGAGAGAGAGGAGGGGCGGGGGTGAGGGCAGGCAAAAGAACATATATATTCTCAACAGCTGAAACCAATTCATTTTAGGCTGCACTGTACAATTTTGTGTTGATTTTTTAGGTTACATGGATGCCATCTATTTTTGTTGAACGAGGAAAGTATTTTGGGTTGGCCTGCCAATAGGAGTTGTTAGTTAGGTACCAATAGGCAATAGTCCAATGTACTACTAACTTGAGAGAGAAGGGACGGCTCCATGAGTGGCTTGAACTGGTCAACCTGCTCAAGTCCGTTAAGCAATTTTCCCGGTTTTATTTTCTGAAAAGGCACGTATGGCCACCTAACGCGTCCAAATCATCATAAACATGAAAGCTTTATCTGTTGCAACCACCCTTTGCAGTAACAACTTCTAAGTACAGATGATTAACTGAGTGGTTACATACAGCACCGTTACCTTGATCATGCGCCAGCTACCAAATGCAGTGGTTTCGTATATTCCCAGGATCACGAAACAAGAAAATGACTGAACTACAGGACCTACTGTTAAACTGGAAGAATAGGAACTGAATATATATTTCATTACTGCTAATGTGGCATGGAGTACAAAGATTACTGAACCATATGCAGCTTAGAAATGAATATTGAACTTACAGAGAACCAGTGAGGACTGCAAAGATCACGTTCATGACCTTGGCTCCGGTGTACCCCTTCTCCAGGATCAACTTAGCGCCATACCAAATCCCCAGCGAGTAGCCGCAGAAGAGGAGCACCATGACGGTGCCCATGCCAAGCCCAGTGGCAAGGCCCTCTCGGATGCCAGACTTGTACGCGTTCTTCAAGGACTTGTTGTACTTCTCCACCGCCCGTTTCTCGCCGGTGAAAGACGCAACCTGCAGCAGCAGTCATGGTCACATGGATCTGTTGGGAGCGCTTCAGGGTCATGTGTCTATTAGGGGGATGGATTTGGTTATGTGCTCACCGTCCTGATGGAACCGATGGTCTGCTCCACCACCACCGACGACTCCGCGTAGGCCGCCTGGCCTAGGGACGCCATCTTGGTCACGACGTTGGACATGACCGCGCCCGCCACGACGAGCGGCGGGATGGTCGCCATCATGACCAGGGTGAGCAGCCAGCCCTGCGCGAAGGCGACGATGAAGCCGCCGAGGAAGGTCACCACCAGCTGGATGAACTTGCCGACCTTCTCGCCCATGGCGTCCTGGATCAGCACCGTGTCGCCGGACATCCTGCCCACGACCTCGCCGGTGCTGGTGTACTTGTCGAAGAAGGCGATCTCCTGCCTCAGGATTGTCTTGAGGTACAGGTTCCGTATCCGCGCCGCCTGACGCTCGCCCGTGATCATCCAGCAGGTCACCTCTGGTCGGACGGCAAACAGTTGAGCAGCCTTAGTCTGCGTGCGTGCTCAGTATCTGACTCTTGGGGTGTGAGGTGAACTTACGGACGAAGGAGGCGACGGCGGAGGCGATGGCGAGGTAGATGAACTCGAGAGAGACCATGGACACCCGGTTGACGACGTCGTGGATGCTGAGCGCGCCGCCAAAGGCGTCGATGAGGTTGCCGAAGAGCACGGTCATGAAGGGCATCGCGGCGCCGTTGGCCACGGCCCCGAGCGCGCCCAGTAGCATGAGCGCCACGTCGGTGGAGTCCGCGAACGCGAACAGCTTGTGGAACGGCACCCGCGTCGCCGTCGCCGTCGCCTCCGCAGCACCGCGGGATTCCCCCTTGGCGCGCCCCTTGGCGCCATTGCCCTGGCTCCGAGCCGAGGGGCCGGACGTGCCTGCCGCCGGCTGCGAGGAGGCATTCGCCTCGGCGGGTCTCCAGGACTCCGGCATGGCTACCGCCGCCTCTGCGTCGAAGATTAGCGCCTCCGCGCTCACAAATCCCTCCCCCGCGCGAGATGGGGCAGTGCTGCTCGGCGCGGAACGCGCAGTGGGCCTCTGCTCTGCTGCTCGCCCTCGTATGGTTATTGCCTACCACCTCCTAGCTCCTGCATACCAGCAGCGCCTCACTCACCTGCCACGGCCCAATAATTGCACACACATTCAGCAGCGGATTCGTCTCAGTGCCTCACAGCTAGAAAGAAGATAGCAGTAGAATCTGGGGAAGCAAACAAGCACAAGAACAGGGCAAATCTGAATCTACAATCTCTTCCTAGCAACCGTAACCGATGAGAAAGACAGGGTTTCGTTTCGGTATCTCACCCGCGCAAGAAGATGGATTTGTGTTGTGAGATAAAGGAGGGCGCTGCGCTGTGCAGTGCAGGGGGGAGGTAGAGTTTGGATGCGAACTTGCGAAGAAGTGGTAGTATGGCTGGTTGGAGAAGCAACAAACCGAGCAGGAAAAAAAGTCGGCAGCTTTCGCACTTGCCCGCCGGACGCGGACGCAGAAACCAGCAGTTCAGCACCCGCACCACCGGGGAAAGAGGGGAAAGAGAAAAGCAAGCTGAAGATGGGAGAGAGAGAGAACGGCGCGTAGTGATTAAAGCTACTAGGAGACAGCAGTGGCGCCGCTGCGGTGGTTTTCGGTATCCATGGCGGGCGAGCAAGCATATAAAAATGTGGGGAGGCCGAGGCCAAGGCGAGGCTACCACCACGCACTGGAGTACTCACCATGGGTCCATGGCAGGGGCACAGGAATAAGCATCCGTGAATCCGTCCTGCCCGTCTCCGTCTCCCAGTGCAGTGCTCCCCGTCCCAGCCGAGCCGGTGGTTGTAATTGCTGGCTGGCTGGATGCTGGGTATTTATAGATGTGGGGCTTTCCGTTCACAAATCACAATTCAGGCAGATCCCGATCGATGACGCTGCCGTGCTTTTGTTTATGGTATTAGTTTTTTTTTCCCTCTCTATATCTCAATCTCAAAGGAGAAGAGGGCCAGCCCTGCACGCTGTCAAGAAAGCACCCTGTATATTGGGTTGGCTATATAGAATAGCCACTCTTTTAGAACCTTTATTAGTACGAGCGGCAGTGGTACACAATGGCCCAGTTCGTATCGCTGAAAAAACGAGCTGAAATATTTGTCGATGTTTTGGACCGACGGATCCTCAACCAACTAGTGAAAATGTATTGTGTGCCCCTAATCCGGGATGGTGATGCAAAGTGACACAAGATTTATACTGATTCAGACAATAGGTGCCCTACATCAAGTCTGAGAGAGCGATCTTGTATTCCTTGCACCGATGTGCTTGTAGTAGGGGTTTACAAGCAGAGCGAGAGAAGAAGTTAGTCCCATGTCTCTGCGTGGAGCGACGTGGGTTGTTTGAGATGTTGATCTCTTACAGTGAGGGAGCGTGCGTATTACATAGTGTTGCCCGTTGCTTACGCGTGTGTGTCTATCTGAGCGATGTCTCCGTGAGTGCGTTGTCTAGAAACGGCCCCGGTCACTCCATTTTATAGTTGAAGGGGAGGACAGGGGCGATACATGCGTTCGTTACGTGGCGTTTTGTGGATGGAGGCGGTATGTCCGAGCCCTGTGCTTGTCACTATGGCGGCATGGTCGACAGAGCGGTCTTGTCCTCGATGCACTGGAGCGACGCGCCGGTCACGCCCGATCCTGTGCGACGTGGGGGCTCATGTGATGGCTTTACACAGGGCATGACGCAGACTGTGGATGACATGCCGGTCGCTGTATGTCGACAGCGTAGAGAGCCGAGGCCCCGTCGGTGCAGAGGCTGAACCATTGTGGGGCGGCTCGGCGGGCGTGAGTCCCGAGGCTACAGGGGTACGGAGGCGGGTAGCTGTGGGGGATATACCCCCGGGTACCACAAGATGGTACATGGGCCGCACCATCCGAGGTGGCCCGGCCCGTGAGATCAAGGCGTGCCGTGGCTGCTTGGCGTGCACCGCAAGACATTGTAATAGTACTAAATAGGATACTTTACTTGTAACCTTGTCCTTTCGAGTATATAAGGAGGGCAAGGGTCCCCTAGAGGATGTACCCAAGGAGGTTAATCTATATACATCATCAATACAATACACCAAAGATACAGGGGCGTAGGGTATTACGTCGATCGATTTCCGCCCCAACTCGCCTAAATCGTTATGCCTTTGTGTCACCATCCGTTCTCGATTACGCGCATCCTACCGATAATCTACCACCACGGGCACCCCCCGGTGGGATCGCCAGACCATATTTCGGTCGACGAAGGGCGCGCCCGGTAGGGGTCCCTCTAGGGGTTGTGCGTCTTGATCTTCCGGCCGAATCGATGGGATTTTTCTTGATGAACATTATCCGCGGCGACTTCGGCTTCCCGCAAAGAAGACTCCTTTTGCAACACGTCACGCACGGTTCCTCGGTTTTCGTCGCCTCTTCTCGATGATTTGCGGTGGTTCTTCTCTCGGCATCCGTGACGATCGGAGGCGGCATGCTATCGCTACGGATTCACGACCGTCACCACACGGCAGAATGACTCGCCGCGCGGTTTGGCGATTAATCTATTAGCTCCCCGGCTCCTTCAATTTCGTGGATCGGGATCAACCGCCAAGCTAGAAGACCGGACACGGGTTCAATCATGACGGATCTAAGGACCACCGTTATGTACCAAAGTCGATCACAACAGACACGCGAGCCTCATGATCCGAACCACGACCGCGTGATGCGTGCATGTCTCATCTTCATCGAGGCTCATGGGCCATGGTGGCGGCTCCACATGACACGACGCCAAGTCTAGAGCAACATGCAACGACCCTGAATCTATCTTGGAGCAAGCACGATCTACACCACCATGCAAGGCTAATTTAATTGCTCGTATGGGTGTATGTACCCATACGTCAACAGATATCGTGCAACGAATGATGCAAGCTCGCACGCGCCCATAATGAGCTAAGTCATGTTTCTATTTTTAGATTAAGCATTCTATTGCGTGTCGATGCTTCTACCATCTCGCTTCATGATTATCTCGTAGCTTCCATGGCGGTGGGATGGCGGTGTACTTGATCTCGGCCGGGCAAAGAGGAACGATGGTTTTGCACCGAACGATGCACAACCGTCCAAGCAAGCCACGCGTTGAGCCGTCAAGTGAGCCGTCGGCGAGCCACACCGAGCCATCAAGCGAGTCACGTCGAACCAAGCGAGCCACTAAGCGAGCCACGCCGAGCTCCGACCACGTCGACCGCAACCACGTCGACCACATCTCGAGCAGCTCCGCTGAGCTCTGACCACGTCGACCGCGACCACGTCGACCACATCCCGAGTGGCTCTACCGAGCTCCGACCACCTCGACCACAAGACTACGTCGCAATGATGATCGCCGCGAAGAACGGCGCTACGACAATCGCGACCACGGTCATGACGACAGTCGAAAAGCTCGAGGACCGGACAACTTCGCCGCCAACGACACGTCAAGCCATCTCTCGAACATCGCAACACGCCGACTACACCCACCGCCGTCAATAAAGCTAAGTATTATTTTTAATTGAAAATTTCTTCGATCATCGTACACCTCCGCCGACCACCCTAAGGGTGCGCTCCGCGTTGAATTTTCTCCATACATACAATCCAAAACATGTATAAGTTTTACAATGGTTCGTCGATCGCTTTTCCTTCCCGCTTGAGAATCCCGCAGAGCCGCAGATCGCTCCCGCTCCACCCCACGCGATGCATGAGAGTCCGCCCTCTGCGCTTCACGGTAGTCGGCGATCGCTCCTCGGTAACATCGGGCACTCTACGCTACGGCGTTCCGCACCTCGCCATTTAGATGTTGGTCGACCAGTGGCGCATTCTTCGAGATGAGTTAATACATCGCGCTCGCCACTACATAACAAAAGGGCTAAAAACAGCTAATGTTATTTTTCAATATTACACCAAGTATAATTCATCGCCAACCGAACACCAAGTGTTTACTTCACCTCCTACGGAGAGGTCAATATATTTAGTACATCATCATCATGTACTACCGCCTCCGTGTTTATTTTTCAGAACACACGTTGAAATTCACGAGCTCATGCTTCAGATTCGCCAAGACCACTCACGGTGCTCGAGGACTCGGCCGCACCACGCTGTGCTCGGGGACTCTTGCCGCACCACGCTCGTTCTCGGGGACTCGCCGCAGACCACGCTCATGCTCGGGACTCACCGCACCACTCCGTGCTCGGGGACTTCGTCGCTCGCTCCTCGACACATGCTCGGGGCCGCCTCGACCACTCTCCGACCACGGCTCGGGGACTTCGTCGCTCGCTCCTCGACACAGCGTGCTCGGTGATCGCCTCGACCACTCTCCGACCACGGCTCGGGGACTTCGTCGCCGCTCCTCGACCTGTGTTTCGGGGACTGCCTCGACCACTCTCCGACCACGGCTCGGGGACTTTGCGCCTCGACTACATGCGATCGGGCGACTTCGCATACGGTTGGAGTATTTTTTCTCACTTAGACCTTGCTACAAGGCTCATACCTCGCCTTCCAAAGAAGCTCGGGGACTACATCGTATTTGCGATGCACTGCCGTGCATCTCGTATCGCTTGTAATGACGATTGGATTCTCAACTTAATCGGGAATTCTTTTTAGACCACAACACCACGTGCCTCGTCACCTACTACCGTGGCTCGGGGACTAAGTGGGCACACTTCACCTTGCGGTGAATGTGTTTGTTTTTCACCCCTCGCCTCTCGATGATCGAGGACGCTTTCGCTTCAAGACGCACTTACATTTCTTTTCGAAATACAAGTGGGCACACTTCACAGAGACGGAAATATTTTTCTTTCTTCTTAAGAGCACCATACATTCTTCTTGGACAACCTACTTCTCCATGACAACGGTGGTCGGAGATGTCAAGAACTCAAGCCTCACCGTTGGAGAAGGTTGAAACGCAGCGTGTCGCATCGTAATACATGGTGCTC